CTGTGCTTCATGCAATGGTGCCCCAGGAGACATGGAAAACCTAATCAAATCTGGCTCTGTCTTTATCAAGTTATCTATTGCAGATCAATTAAGAGGTACATTTCAGAATACAGATTTTTGTCAGTCTTTGAATTACAAATGGTAAAGGACAAAGCGCAACTCACAAAACGTTGAAGACATATTTGATGGCACTATGTACAAATCCATTGATGCACTAACCTAAACGACCCAAATTTGGCAAATATTTCAGTGTCATGGAATGTTGATGGTGTTCCAATTTTCAAATCTTCTCCTTTTCATGTCTGTTACAACTTCAAGTTACAATCAACAAGCTCCCCCCTAATCTGAACGAGTTTGAATAGGAGAGTCACGAACGTGCATCACAGAACAGAGCAAGGCGACCATTTTACTGTATTTTAGTGGCGCCAAGGGTATATTTCCCACAATGCAACTTTAAAATACAGTAACATGCTGTATAACTGTCCTACAGTAAAATACAGTTCATTTTTACCATTAAATACTGTGCAATTTACAGAAATTTCTAACAGTGTGCAGTTGTACAGACAGCAGTGAGTCTGATGTGTTGATTTATTGGAATGATATAAGACATGAACCGGTATAGCTGGAAGGGTAAAGTAGGGTCAATGGGTGAGAGGTGAGGGGGTGTCAAGGTGGCGCGTGCTGCTGTTCCAGAGGGGACGGCAGGCGGCAGGTGCATTGTTGATACCCTAAACATGTGCAAGGACAGTGCCAAGCCCTGGATGAGACATTTCGGCTAAGATACTGAGAAAAGTAGATGAGCCAGAACCTGCATCCTCCTGCATATCCACCTCAAACAGCCAACTTGGTACGTTAAACGTGTCAACAGAGAAAAGGTTAGGAGGGGGGAGTGGGGGGGGGATGATATGGTGGGAGATAAAGAGAAATACGAAATGATAGACAAGTGTGTGGAAGAAAACCAACTGTTTTTCTCCATCCTCCAATTGCTGTCTTAAAAATGAAAGTGCCTCTTTTCTGTGGAGAGTAATAGTTTTACATTGAGGCAAATGTCAAAGTAACCAAAAACAAGCGCTAGTGTGTAGTTGCAAGCACATATATATATATATATATATATATATATATATATATATATATATTGTAACAGTCAACATGGTTTAAAGGGATAGTTTCCCCCAAAAAGGCAATTTTGTCATCATTCTTCTAATATCCTTCAATATTCTTCAAATATCTTCATTTGAGTTCAGCAGAAAAAAGAAACTCATACAGGTTTACTCAACATGAGGGTGTGTAAATGATGATATATTTTTATTTATATTTTTGGGTGAACTGGATCTTTTTAACCTGGTCTTCTAGCCTGACCAGCTGAAAAGTGTGTCCTTTCTAAAAGCATGTCAATAAAGAGACTAATTAAAATCAGCTATTTCAAACTCTTTTTCTTGTCTTTCTTTTCTTTTTTTGCTTTCTTTTTTATTATTACTGTGTGTGTGTGTGTTTTCAGTAGGGTGCTTATTTTTGTATTATTTACTACTACTTATATAATACTATTATTAATAAAATATAGTATTTATTTTATTGTGAACCATGATGTAGAAAATCTCCCCAGCAACACACAGATTTTGAGGAATTGAGTAGGCTATATAAGTTGAATTTTGTGCTAAATTTTGCTTGTTCAAACAGCAATGGTGATGCTTACCTTAGCAAGAACATCTAACTGATGGTACAATGCAGGCAAACAATATCACATATCTATGACTAAAATAATTAATTATAATAGCTAACTAGTAATAAAAAAAAAAGATTTTTCCATTCCTTCAGTTTGTTTGTCCTCCATCGCCCATATTACACATTGACCACATTATGAAGTGTGTACACTAAAACATGGCTGAACTTTAAGACTTGTTTGGTAAACTCATGGCATTGGCTATGTCACCATGCCTCTGGACACAGGTGACTCACGTCAGACCCCATCCCGCTGTTGGGAGTAAATAGACGAACACGTGGCCTGGAATTTGGTTAACAGGAAGGACACTTGCATGTCCTTGTCACATCCATTAAGAACAAAAATGCAGTTTATTAGCCCAGTGGTTCCCAACCCTTGTCTTGGAGTAGGCCTACTTTTTTGACATCTCTCTAATCTGACTGAGGTCTTGGGACACTTGGCAAACGAACCGATGAGTTGAATCAGGTGTGTTTGATTAAGAAGACATCTTAACCAAAGCCACTTGAAGGCAAGCCAGCAAGGTTGGCAAAAAAAAAAAAAAAAAAAAAGCATAACACCTGCTAATGCTGTGATAAGCAATGAAGGAGACCAGAGGCTGTTTTTTTTATGGATGTCAATGGAGGAGAGTCTTTAAACTGAATAAACTGCTTTTTCTGGGAAAACGGCTTATCATAGCCCTCAATCGGGTCATGGGGTCTATACGACCCCAATCGACTTTTCCTTTACCCTTCATCTAAGTGGAATAAGATTTTGTGACTTTACATACATTATCTATCTATACACACACACAAAATTGGGCTTGATTCGGTTGTTCTAAAGGTATGTAAAAAACAAAAAATGTTTACACTTCTGGTCTTCGGGGGTCAATATGACCCCACATTGAAATGAATGGGAAATGTGAAAAAAATATATATATATTTTCTTCATGCGTCAAAAAATGTGTCATAAATCTGAACATTTTTACACAGAAATTAAGGCCTAGTTCTAGAGCATGAATGTATTGCATCATAAAAAAATAATATTTCATATGCAAGCTAATGGTGTAGTTGAGGAATTGTGTAGTATATGGATACAAAGTACTTTATATCTCCAAAAACACAGCATTAATGAATAGATGAGAAGTAAACAAAAAAAAAAAGATGTATTATTTGTATGATTAAAAATGTAGCTATATTTTTTTCGTACAATTACTCAATCAATTGTTGAGGTCGTATAGACCCCAGTATTGAGGTAGGATTGAGTTTACGCCACTTCTCATTCATTTCGGGCAAATGCAATCGGTAGTGGAGTCCTTATGTACCACTCATTCCGAAGGGAAGTGGGGACTGTGGAGGGAGCAGGACACTCGTCTGTCATTACAAAGCCATTTGGAACGCACTTTAGCAATGACCACATAATTTCTTCTAGCTTCGCATGGATTGGTACCACTACAAAGCTATAGGCTGCGACAACAGGAATATTTTATTATTATACAGTAATATATAAAAATAATAACAAATATATTTGCTGTCCCCAATCTGCTCATAAATCATTAAAAACGTTTCTTACATGAAACTTTTATCAACGTAATCTGACATGCATGACACGGGGGTAATGATGGGGGTGATATCACAACAAAACAAAACACCTTGAATTATTCTGTTTATAGACCCTATGTAGCCCCGCCCATTTTCAGCACTCAGCTCTTTGTATTCTGTCAATCGGTTTATATTTCCACAGCAAGATCTTACTGATTTATGAATGAACCGCTCCTTTTAAAATCTTCCCAGTTTTCTGACATTCATGACATTTGCTTCAAACATTAGAATTCTCAACAATAAGTAAATCCACTTCACCAGCTACTTACTCTTCGACAGCCATGCCATAGAAGCTTGTGGAAGGGCCCTTCGTGAAGGGATTCAGTTGTTCACTTTCACTTGGAAGGCTCCTACACCTAACGTCCCCTTCCAGAAGTGCCCTTCAAGGGTGCAAAAACGTCGTTTGGTATCCCCCCTTCTATGGTGGCCTATTCAGATACAGTGATTGATTGTTGCTCAACTCTGCACGAAATGTATTATAATGATTTTTTCCCATAGCCTATAGACTGTCAGAAAAAAAATTTTTTTCATTGTTGTTCTTCCATGTAGGCTACCTCCTCATGTCTGGTGGACTAACTGTGGTCTTGGTTCCATAAGATACAAAGAAAATCTTGTGTAATCCAATACAACGATGAAATGTAAAGCAAAAGAAATTGTATAATCCATGTCTTCCATGCTTGCTTCCTTTATGTACCTGCAGTCTTAAGCGTCAGCCGCCCTGTACTCTGCTTTTGGCAAATAGATGGACTGAAACCCCTCTCTTGTGCTTATATACATGATTTGGGAGTAAAATGTGCCAAAAAACAACAAACACCATGGGAGTAATAGCATTTCAGTATTAAATATTTAAGATGTCAACACAGACTAAACAAGCACCAGGAATCTGGGCCTAGTGAAATGAAAGAGATCCACAGTGGAGTCTGTTTATCAGTTTCAACACCTAACAGAAACTGTGTTGCCTCACCAAACAAAAAGACTCTACTCAACTTATGGCCTTATTCTGTTTCAGTTATGAGCTTTGAGTAAATATATATGAGAATGATGAGTGATATTTTCAAGTTTGGATACAAAATACAGCATATATCCAGAACAATGAACTTCGGTGAGCAGTGTGTGTACAGGCTTGATGGCATAACCTCTCTAACGGAACGGAAGGAGTTTCTGGAAGGCCAACACTGCCACCATGTGGACATGCACATGGCTGTTGCCACTAGAACCACTGTTACGTACTTACGGCACGTACTGAGACGCTTTCCTGGGACTGGATCAACGTATTTTGTTGATAATGTAACAACATTCCTGACATAAAATTTTACCCTAACAATATCCCTAAACCTAACTCTACCCATAAGTTATCCCTAAAATCAGAGGGAAATTATAAAATGAATAAAACTGATGTTGAAGCAACTCGGTTGTAAGCTGCAAACTTGTTCCTCAAATCTGATTAGTTCGTTGGAAAGAAGTCATCCATTACACAAAACCTGGTTTCACCAAGTATATGTTCCTGGATCAACATCTTTGTTGTAGGCCTACATAGTTGTACATGTTGTGAAATCAGGTTCTGTTATGGACCTCTTTATTGTATTGTATTTTTTTTTTTATTGTATTGTACATTGTATTTTAAAATTAAACACCATGTTACAATGCAAAACTATAAATGTTAAATTAGTACTTATCCAAAGAAACAGATGAGGAAAAAAAACTGTATTAAAAAAATGTTTATTTTAACATTTCTTGGAGCTCTCTGATGTCCACTGCCCCAAAATCAAGTCATTGATCAACTTAAAAACAAAATCCAATCAATACAGAAAATATTACAAAGATCAACAGTAAAACAAGAGGCTGAATCAAGCTCAATCCACTCAAATGACATGAACCGAAGCTTCCTTTAAACAAATAAAGGAATCACAAATAAACAAATAAAGTCATCCACATAGGGTTTCAGATGCACTGGTGCACACTAACACCAAGCAAAATCACCCACAACCATCCCAAATTCATTTGTAATAGAATGATTGGATATACGTGTCCTTAGATTGGTTTAGGCAGAGATGTGACTTCCTCCAAACACTCATCATATGCTTCTTTATAATCATCATGCGGTTTGACCATGATAACACAGGTTGGCCGTTTGGATCCAGCTGACGAACCCAAATCCTGTAGAGAGAGGGATACACACACAAATGAGTAATCTAACTCTGCACATTAAATCTGATTTGGAGGCAAACATAATACACTCCTGAACTTACAACTTTAGATGGGACATAAGCATAAGCCAGGTTTCGGTCTTCACACATGATTGGCAAGTGGCAATACACCTCGATGGGAAGAGTGTCTCCAGCAAATATCACAATACTAAAAGATGACAGAAAACAAGTGTTAAAATAACAAAGCTCAACACGTGACCATCATACTAAAACATAAGGAAAATGAACCGAATCTTACCCAGTCTCCCCTTTGTTGATAAACTTCTGTACCTCTTTCACTCCTCGTCGAATCTGTTTAACTTTAGCAGCTGTGAAAAACAATGAATAACATTTCTAATGAATAACGTTAACTGACTTGGAATCACGTATTCATTTAAGGGAATAACTTACAATCATATACAGACATGTTTAGTATACTTTTATTTAGATTTAAAGGAATTATAGTTGGGGAAAATATAACAAAATTGTACCTTTCTTGACGCATTTGTAGAGCTTTTTGCTTAGTTTACGCGATGCAAGCGGGTTTGCGATGGGGTTTATATTAGCTATTAATTCTTGGTATGATTTTTCTGTTCCCCCGGTCTCTTCCTCGACGGTTTTCTCCTTCTTTACCTTTGTCATTTTTCGAAATAAGGGAAAGATATAACTAAGAGATCAATTTTGTGTAGCAGGACAGAACACACGTGCAGCGACTCTTAACGTATTTCCGGTGTTTTTCGGCGGCTACTGTGAGTTCTGCTTGGAAACACTGACACCTAGTGCACGGAATGAACAATCTTTTCTCAAACAAAATAATGCCTAGATTTTATTCAGTCAAGGAGACCTCTGCCTCGCACACATACACTAGTACACGGAATGAACAATCTTTTCTCAAACAAAATAATATCTGGATTTTATTCAGTCAAGGAGACCTCTGCCTCGCACACATACACACACTCAAAACTAATCGTTTTCAACATTTACAAAGAATACATCTGTAAAAACCTCATTTTAAACGAAAATGTAAATAGCTTACAGTTTTTCTTCTCAGTAACCAAAAGTAGTAACCTAGCAGGGCAAAATATTACAAACAAAATAAATACATATAAATATTTCTGTTTACGTTATCTCCCAAACTTTGTTCAATTTCACTTTGGACGCATATCTCATGTGCATTTCTCCTCTCCAAAAGAGAAAACTTCAAGCATTTCTTTTTTGGGTAACGATGGCCTACAGCATACTTGGCACATTCAACATCCAATAACTTTCTGGGAAGATTACAATAATGTTCTATATGTTAACATTAGTTAACATGAACTTAACAACAATCTTACTGCATTTATTAATATTAAATCATCGTTAAAATACTAAATCATGAACTGATATGATGTAGAATGAATAAATGAACATTAACCAAGATCAATAAATGCTGTAAACATGACTGTTCATTGTTAATATGATACCTACATCATTAACTACTGTTAATCATATAGAACATTACAAACTGTTAGTAACTTTCTAATAGAAGTCATAACTGCTTTCCCTTCAAGCTTCGAAACTATTAATCACTTATAGAAACCACCATGACAAGGGTGTAAAGTGCATTTTTCCGAGTCAATTTAACACCAGGATTCTTATTATCCCGTCTTTAACACACACACAAAACAATAATGAATCTTTCCAGACATTAAATTGGCATTGGACATTCTGTAAATCTGGGTTCAACATAAACAAAAACTAAACTACAACACGGCCTAATTTATCTGTGTAGGGTTACAAGTTAGAAAACCATTTACAAATATATATAAATAACCATTACTTCAAAGAGTAAGTCAAATGTGTAGTTGTCTAGAGATGTAAGAACAAACTAACAGTGGAAGAAAATATAAAGGACCAAGGGCCTGTCACTGCTCCTGCGTCTTCACAGCAATACCCACATGGGCATGGCGAATGGTACGTCCATGTAGCATGTAACCATCTTGCTTGACCACAGCTACGGAGCCGGGCTCCACTCCCTCTGCTGGGGTGTGACAGACTATTTCATGCTGATAAGGGTCATAGGTGCCTCCCACTGGGCTCATCTTCTCCAGTCCATGTTTGCTGAAGACGTCCTGCAGCCGCCCTTGTATGAGTGCCAGGTATTGCGTCAGCTGCTGCACTCCATCTCTCTCCTCAACTTCTGCACTCTTCTCTATCAGGTCTGCAACCTCCACAATGTCACGGCAGAAACTCTGAATCCCTGCAGGGGGAGCATAACGTTTAATGCAACAAAGAAATCTCAACACCTATAAGCAATATGTGTAGCTAAAATAAAGTAGGTTACCAAATTGTTTGGCGTCCTCAACAAATTTCTGTGTTCTTCTTCTAACATTGTCCGAGTCAGCCAGGGCTCGTTTGTATCTCTCCTTTGAAAAGTACAAAGATTAGCAATTACCAAAAGCAAAAATGGAAAAACAACAACTGATTAAATTATTACGAATTCCATGGCTTTCTACGAATTTTTGAGACGTTAATTGTTTTACCAGTTTTCATCATTAAAAGTGTTCATTTTTATGAGAAAGTCTATATTAAAACTGATTTAAAGTAGAACTCCGGTGAACAATGAACCTTTGGTCTAATAAAACATCGGTACCTAGTCGACCGTTCTCTGAGATTTGTTTTTATGGTAATTGAATGTAAAGTTTTATCTCTAAAAACTGTTCAGCATATAATGCTAGTAATGGGGGCATTAACTAAGTAAAAAGAAACCGCTAGTTTATACCACTAACAAGGCTCAAAATAGCCCCACACTAACACAGTAACATAATGAGGGTCCATACATGCAAAACGAAGCATTGAGAATTTTGTAAGTGTACCGACCGTTTAATAAGAAGATACGTTATAAAGACAGTTCACTTCGTGTATACAGGCGGAGCCATCTTTGGAAAAAAGTCACAACAAGTCAAACCACGAACGTCGTGCTGAGTGATCTGAACTGTATGAAGTTCAGCGAACTTCTGAACTGGGATCAACTTATCGAGACTGTTTTCTAACATGGCTCCTGCCTGAGCTTCGAAACTATTAATCTAGCTAGTACTATAATGCTAACCCCCAGTACTAGCATTATACGCTAAACAGTTTTTAGAAATAAAACTCTTTACAGTCGATTATCATGAAAATAAATCTCAGAGAACGGTTGACTAGTTACCGATGTTTTAATAGACCAAAGGTTCATTTTGTGCCGGAGTTCTCCTTTAAGGTAAAATAAACCATGAGTAAGAGTTGACATAATAATGTCATTGACCAAAAACATAATGTCTTAAAGGTGAAAGTGATATAATTATAAAACAACAATCATTGCGATTACAGTTGAGCAAAATAATCATAATTATCAATTTAACCATTCACTGACTAAAATGCCCAGAAGTTTATAGGCCTGGTTTCACAGACAGTGTTTGGATTAAGCCAGGATTAGGTATTAGTTTATTTAGGACATTTAAGTAGCTTTTATAAATGTGCCTTAAGTTTTTTTGTTTTTACTGGTGTGCATCTTGACCAACCTAGTCAATACAACAGCAGATAAATATTCCTATAATAAGAGTACTTGACTGAATAAAAAAATTAAAAGAACAATATGAATTTACCGTGAGGTCATGAACCTGCTCTTCCAGTTTTCTAGCTCTCATCTCCAACGTCCTGACATGTGTCAAAGAGTACCTGTGGTCGTCTTCTCCATCGTCACCATGACAGTCGTCACCAGTACTACGATGTTCCGCCGCAGTGCTGAAGAGGCCTACAACGGACCTGGAGGAAAGAAAATTGTTAAGCATTATCACTGCATCAAAAAGAAAATTGTATTTTATATTAGGCGGCTTCTAAAACCTGTAAATCATTCAAAATACCTCTTTTACACCACAGTTAAATGACTATGGTATTCAACATTATGCTGAACACAATACTGCAATCAATGCTTACGCAACATGTTTCTTTATTTCTTCTTCTGCATAGAGATCTGATTGGAAATCTAATATAACACGAAACAACAAATAAATTTTTTATTTGACCCCAAAATGTGTTACATCGTCAACACTTTAACCCTAAACACAGTGTTCTCTATGGTAGGCTACAATAGAGATAAATAGGAGCATTTAAGGTAAAAGGCCACTTGGATAATTGTTTTGCCTAAAACAAAACATAGCTCCAGTAATGCCACAAAAAGTTTGGCATAAGTGGAGACTGGGAATGGATTTGTTGTGATGGATGTAAAAAAATGTCACAATGGAGGTGTATTAAAATTATAGCCGATGTGTAAAGTAATGTAACAAAATAAGAGGTCCACACAAGACATGCGAGGTAGTTTTCACGAATTATGGATTCACTCCCATGACTTAATTCATAGCCACATGACATGATTTAATAACCAATCAATTCACACGTTTTAGTTCAAAAGTTCAAATATAATATACTGCTTATTTCAATCGTCAGCTGTATCAATCGCTTTATTTAGTATTTTATTTGACAGAAAACTGTTTTAATATATATTAAATAAATAAAAAGCATAGTTTAAAAAAAAATACAATTAGGGATGAGGGGGAAAATCTAAATAATCTTGAAATTGACATTTTTAATTGGGGTTCAATTTGATCCAAAAGATCAGATGTGGCTGAAGTTTTTTTGAGACAAAAGAGGATTGTGTCGGCGGCGTGTGCCGCGAACAAAGCGAATCAAACGGAATGCAATAAAGAACAATCATCATTACGAGTAATTACACGCTCACTCAGTTTAACATGTAAGTTAACGTTACAGTAAATGAGCCGTATGATTGATGACCAAGTTAACGTTACACTAACCCTGAAATATTGAAAAACCATTATGAGTCTTTGGCGGTGTAACTTACTTACTATTTTTTGACACTATTGAAATACAGTTTGTAATAACAGTTGTTACATTTAATTTCCCGTTTAAAGGACAAAACGTTTTTTAAAAAAACCAACTGTGATATCAAATGTGGCAGATGTGATTGATGTAGTTTTCTTGCTATGCTAAACAACATGAAAAAGAATTTAAACTAACGTTACAAAACTAAAAATGGTCGACGAAGTAGAAATGTCGCTTCTGAACAAAATTTAAACTCGTCTGGGTTGTATATTTATCGGTTACATTAAGGTTTGCGTCTCGCTAAACCGTTAAGTCAATCGTTAGCCAGTTAGCAGCGACGCTTCCCCACAACACTTAAAACGGTTAAATTGACGATAATATGAGCAAACCCCTATTTTTCTCGCATTATTTGCACATTTATCAGAATATTACTCTGTATCATGTTTACCTGGTGACCGCACTTGGTGTCAACCTGCACAAATCGATAGGATATCTTCTCGTTCTGGTCAGAAAGCGCACGGCCATTTCCTCAGTAGCGTATGTGGGTGGTCTGAGGGACGTGCGCGCGTGACCTGCTCGACGAGTCACTGTTCAGAATTAGCGATTCGATTCACTAAAACAACTCTGATTCTCGATCTACTCTGGTTCTGCAAAAAGTGAAATCCTACATCTACGGTAATGTATTGACTATTGTAAATCCATTAAATTAGACAGGTGTTGATGTTTTTCTTTAGTACTGTATTTGACTGATTGAATCCACTACACTCTCCTTCAGATGGGTTGTCATTCCTTTGTGTCCCAGGCAAGGACCACCCACCCAGACTTACGGAGACAAATTGGGGTCCAGGGACCCTCAGGGGGGTGCAAGTGAGTGCTAGGCGGTCAGAATAAAAGCCTAAAGAGAAAAAGTGTAAAAGGATTATCACATTTGGGGGTCTGGGGCATCTAAAAGATTGAAAACCTAACATAAAATTTTATTTGTACCATGGTATAAAAAAGCATTGATGATATTAACACTCCACATTAACCACATTGAGAAATAGATGTAGAATGCATTTTTTTGAGGAAAACTTAATCCATGGACCCCCAGTTGTCAACCCTGGATCTGCTTGATAAATGATTGATGAATTAATGCTGGAACCCAAAGGCCTTTTTTTTTTTTTCAATTTCAATTTCAAATAAGCAAAGCCATTTTAGTTGATGTTATTTCAGTGTAATCCACAATTCAAATGTAAAAAGAACTCCAACAAGGTCATTTATGAAAAGGCATTTATTACAGTTACAGATATTGCAGAGGGGGAAAAACAATGATTGTTTATGTACAAAGTAGAAATAAATAAATCTGGTAAATTAAGTGCCCTAGTATTAAAAAAAAAGGAAAATCCTTTGAACTTCACATAACATATAAAAGAGGGAGATATTAACACTGTATCCAAGGACTGCACAAAGAAATCAGCAGGAAGACCACATCAGTATCCCGTGTGGCGTTATACAGTAAGAAGTGAAATGAAACAATTTCACAGAATTCAGGCACCCATTTTAACTTTTATATTAAACAAATATATGCTAATAAAACACTTCCCTTATCCTTACCATCTTCATGCAATTTTTATTTCACATTCATTTTTATTTACATACAGACTTCCATCATGTGGTCAACTGTCCTCCTGTGTAGAAGTGTAGTGTAGTGGGACAGCCAGGGTGATCATAGATCCACAGATCCTCTCTTGATGACAGCACTATAATTACATTACTTTCTTTGACTCCCATTCCTAAATATAAAATAAAAATTTAGAAGAAGGTTTGAATGCTTAATTTAATCTATATACTGTTAGACATTGGTTCAATCATATACCTTGGCTTTCTGCATGACATTTCCTTTGTTGGACGCATAGATGGACGGGGGACGTTTCTTCATTTCAGATGCACAGTTGACCGGCACAGTGGCATCATTGTAATTATGTTCCTTTTTTTTAACTGGAACCTACAGGTATTAAGATACAAAATGATTTTCACTGTAAATTCAGGTTACTTTGAGGGGAAAAGCATATTTAGAGTCAAGAATACAGGTACTTTAATGGTGGGTTTGCTTTCCACAGGTGCCCCCAGAATTCCTCCAGTCAGAGACTTCTTCAGTTTCTCTTTCACCTCCGTGAGTCTCAATTCCAGGTCCACTCGCTCAGCTTCCTTCTGACGGCAGCTTTCCTCCAGCTGGGCCAGATGCTGCTCCATGGCTTTCTGCTGTTTATCTGTTGCACATATGAGCAAAACATATTACATTAAAGTTCCCCTATCATGCTTTTCGGGTATATTACCCTCCATGTAATGTGTTACATTATATAGCTGTTTGCGAATGTTAAAGGTCTGCAAAGTTTCATAGATCAAAGTGCATGACAAATGGAGTCGTCAGTAATTCCAGCCTTACTTTCCGCACAAACATACGTAGGTCTGTAACAAATTTGTGTAATGCAAGCCGATGGTCTTCACTGGCTTCCGCGAGTGTCTACTTTGACCCGCTCTCAAACATGAAAAAAAATTAAGATTACTGTAGGCTAATATAGGCCTATGTAGCAGGGCATTCAGTTACTTTTGAAAGGACAAAAATAAGATAAGATGTCAGTGTATTTCATTAGACTTTAACTTTGCCACCACTAAATATTAAATAATCTAGCATTTCCTCACATTTTACCACAGGTTTTTAGTGAGATTTGATATGCATGGGTCACTGGCTGATGACAGTCATCCCGCCCTCCCCTCCCAGGCCGCACCACACCCACTCCCCTCCACGCCCATTTAAGTTGCATTTTTCAAAAAGATTGTGAGCTAGACTTGAGCTAAAAGGCTTTCATGACCCTTTAAAGGGATAGTTCACTTTGAAATAAATTTTTGATATGTTTTAGCTTACCTCAAGGGCATCCAAGATGTAGGTGTCTTTGTTTCCACAGTATTTTCAATTTTGATATTTTTAAGTCAAACCATTCTTGTGTCAGTCATATAATGCAGGTCTATGGTCACCACCTCAAAGAGCATGCACAGAGATGTCCAAATTAAACATGATTTAATGACTCGTAAATGTAAGTACACATTGATGGCCTAAGACACGAAACGAGCGGTTTATGTGAAAAAACAAACAGTATTATATAGTTTTTACACAAAGCGCCCGTGCCTTCAGATCACTTGCACGTGGCTGTGGTTTCAAGAGGTAAAAACGTTATAAATACTGTTCATTTTCTCACTCAAAACGCTTATTTCGTGTCTTAGGCCATCAATAAGTACTTACATTTATGAGTCATTAAATCATGTTTAATCTGGACTTCTCTGTGCATCCTCTTTTAGGTGGACCCCATAGGTCTCTATATGACTGACAGGTTTGACCTAAAAATGTCAAAATTGAAAATACTGTGGAAACAAAGACACCTACATCTTGGATGCCCTTGAGGTAAGCTAAAACATATCAAAAATTAATTTCAAAGTGAACTATCCCTTTAAATGAACAGCTCATATAACTTCAAGATATTGTCAACAGGTGGCGCCAAATACTGCAAAAATGGTTGCAAACCCCTACATGTTTACATTCTCTTTCATTCTTTAAGTTGGTCACCTGTTGTGTTTTTCAGCCCTTCCTTCACCACCCTCTTTTCTGAGCGCAGTGACAGTAGGCTCTTCCTGATTTCTTCTTTTTCTTTCTCTAACTGTTCTTTCTCATTGAGATACCGTCGTGCATCTTCTTCAGCCCTCGTCTTTCCATATTTACCGTAGTGATTCACAGCTACAACACAAAAACAAGACAAAACACAATGGCAATTCGAGATAATTTAATCAGTAAAATGATGAGGCAATGACTCTGTTTGGGAAGACGATATTCAAAGGTCAACCAAAAAAGTGATTTTCCAATGAAAACAAACTTACAGGAACCGTGTCGCTTCACAGTGATTTGCGTGTCACCCGTGGCTGTATCCATACTGGACATAGAGGAATAACGCTTCAGTTTAGACTGATTCTCATCGACCTGCTGGTGGAAAGAGGAATAATTACAGTTTGTGTGAAAACAACCTTTAAGTACTTTATTTAAACAATCAAACTTCTTGGCTTCCAGTATGATAGCATTCATTTAGGCATTACACAATGTGCTTATTTAAGGATTTCCTAAAGAAGTTCCTTTTTATAAAGGAACTTGCTTACAATGACAGAAGATTTTTAGCTGACTAGACATAACAAAGACAGTTGCACAACATTACCACCCAACCAAGAAGTGGTTGTTGCTGCCTAGTCCATAAAAATGAACTAAAACTCTGAGAGAACTGTGGTTATACTAGCTGAACTGCAGAAACAACACCCATATGGGCCGAATCATGCTTTTCAATAGTCATATATAACCTCCCACACAGCAAATACTATGAGTTTTAATTATTCTCTTTGATCATGAACACAAGAACGTACACTACCATTCAAAAGTTTCATTCAAATGTTAGTGAATGAAGTCTTTTCTTATCAAGGCTATATTTATTTGATCAAAAACACAGTAAAAACAGTGGACATTATTACAATATAAAAATATAGCTGCAAGCAGCAATTATCGGGACCAAACGAAGAAGACGATAAGACATGCCAACATGGCTGGGAGTGACAGACCAACTACAGCAAGGAGAAATTAAACACATTTTAAGATGGTTTAAGGCAGAATAGCTGGATAATCATACATACTGCGACTCTATCGACACGAAACCAATAACTTTTGGTCGGCACAGTCTGTAGATTATACGATTTGATTTTGGTGAAAATCGGACAAACGGTCTACAAGAAGTATGAAACCTATGAAAATATCTGTAAATAAATAGATATTTTAAAATAAAGATGGCAGACAGGAAGTCTTAAAAATCTTTTAAGACCAGTGTCATTACAATAGGCACATTTATTCAAAAGTTATTACGATTTTTTCTAAATTTGTTATAGCTTTTTTACCAAAAGGTGGCACTTCCCTAAAACTTTTTGAGTACCTTCAAGGCATGGCGCCGATGACTCGTACCGAGTTTCGTAACGATACGGTAATGCGTTCATAAAGGATAGCATTTTAGATCACAATACTGTTTTGAAGTTGATGCCAATTTCATGTTTTGTTCTGTTATAGCGCCAACAAGACGCACAATCCCACAATTTGTTGTCCTTAGAGTGAGCCCATACATGCGCGTCAAATTTGGTAAAAATATCTCATTTCGTTTGGGAGTTATAGACATTTATATGTATAAACACATAGAAAATTACCCACCTATGATTTGTTTGTATTTTCTTGCCACTTACTATTAATATTTTGTCATTTGGGCATTATCAAATAGCCAACGACCTATGTTTCCAAACTCCCTACGGTGGTTTCGTCTCGATTGGTCAAGCGGTTTTGAAGATATTGGCAAATATTTTTTAAGCGCTGAATCACAACACTACACAACCCGTTAGGCAAAACCTAGCATATTTGGTATTGTTTGATTTGGCAAGGATTCAGGAATCTAAGGAGATGACTCATGCGAAAATAAGTCAACCACACCCAGAATTTTAAGCATTTGAAAAAT